CCTCCCAAGGCCTGGGCAACCAACATTTTACTTTCTGTTTTTATGAACTTGATTATTCTAGGTACCTCGTGTAAGTGAAATCATATAGTATTTGTGTTTCTTGTTTTAAAGATTTTATTTATTTACTTGAGAGAGAGAGGGAGAGAGAGTACAAGCAGGGCTAGCGGCAGAGGAAGAGGGAGAAGCAGGCTCCCCGCTGAGCAGGGAGCCCAACATGGGGCTCCATCCCAGAACCCTGGGATCATGACCTGAGCCGAAGGCAGCCGCTTAACTGACTGAGCCACCCAGGCGCCCCCAGTATTTGTGTTTTTGTAACTGGCTTATTTCACTCAGTATATCCTCAAAGTTCATCCATATTACACCCTATGTCAGAATTTTATTGCTTTTTTAGGCCGAATAATATTCCATTGTAGGCATATGCCACATTTTGTTTATCCAGTCATCTGTTGATGGACACTTGGGTTGCTTCCACCTCTTGGCTACTGTGAACATGGGTGTACAAACATGTCTTTGAGCTGACAGTCTTTTAAGGAGCTTATCACATCGTATTTGGATTATTTATCTGCCCATCATTTGGCCTAACTAGATGGTTAGCTGCGTAAGGACCTGTGTTATTTATCTTTGTATTACAACTTCCAATACAATGCTGGCACATAGTAGGAACTCAATAAATATTTGTTGGCAAAATAATTTATTTTTATACTTCTTAATCACTACTACTGCAGCTGGCTATTTTACATATTTTAATAAATAAGTTTTGCAATTTTAATGAATGCTATTTTGATTATATTTACATACTAAGCTATTTTATATAAGGGGATTAGTATAAAATATCTAAATCTCAATCAAAATCCACTTTCTAGATGAAATGCCATTGACAATTCCTTCTTATTCACATTGCTTAATATCAGCTCTTGCTGCTCTTATTCTACTCCTTCCATTCCTTCCTTTTCAAGTCATAGCATTGCCTAGATATTAAGGACCTTATTAGGGGTCTCCTCAGTTCATGAGCTATCCGGTTGAATAAAGCTAGCATGGGCCCAGGGTTTGGTTTGCTCAGCTCAAAAACTTTCATTTGGTGTGCCCGGGTGGCTCAGTTGGTTAAGCGACTGCCTTCAGCTCAGGTCATGATCCTGGAGCCCCAGGATCGAGTCCCACATTGGGCTCCCTGCTCAGCAGGGAGTCTGCTTCTCCCTCTGACCCTCCCCCCTCTCGTGCTCTCTCTCTCATTCTCTCTCTCTCAAATAAATAAATAAAATCTTGGGAAAAAAACCCTTTCATTTGAAGATCATTTTGTATGAGGTACAGGATGGAAAAGGCACAGCCCTACTTTGGAGGAACTCACAGTCTTGCGATTCTGTCTGGTTATTCTTGGCCACAATTAAGCAAGAAGCCTCAGTTTTCTCAGGTGTTGAAAATACTATTTACCTCTGTTTCCCACACTCGGTTAACAAACACAGACATTATAGCATTCACAAAGCATGAGGAGCCGAAAGAAAGACATTGTGAAAATTCCGAGGAGTATTATATTTGATGATAATTATTGGGTGTGCTATCCGCAGGGGTAGAAGCTAGTTTTGTAACTCCTTACAAAATAGACATTTGGAATTGTGATTTCAGGTCAAGGAAGCATTGTTGTACACGAACCTTTGAGGGACTTGCTCAACTCCAAACACAAAGCAATGGTCTTTAAAATATAAAAGAGAGGGGCGCCTGGGTGGCTCAGTCGTTAAACGTCTGCCTTCAGCTCAGGTCATGATCCCAGGGTCCTGGGATCAAGTCCCACATTGGGCTCCCCGCTCGGCAGGAAACCTACTTCTCCCTCTCCCTCTGCCCCTGCTTGTGTTCCTGCTCTCGCTATCTCTGTCTCTGTCAAATAAATAAATAAAATCTTTAAAAATATATATATAAAAGAGAAAGATGAAAAGAAACAGCTGGACCAAAATGTAGTCTTCTAGGAACCAGGAATGCAAAGCAGAATGAGACTGAAGACATGGGCCTCTTGGGGTCCAGGTCTGAGGCAGAGGCTGCTGGAATGGGGCCTCTGCAGGGTTAGGGAGACTAAAAGTGAGGGAAATGGGTGGAAACCAGAACCAGGTTCACTGTTTGAAACGAGTAGTTTCAAAACAGGGCTAGACTGAGAACCCCCACCCTCCTACACACAAAGTGGCTTGTTAAAGAGGCTAAAAAAAGCTCACCACTGCCTGAGATGGGCCTTACATGAGGGAATGATCAAGCAGGAAAGCAAGGAAGGACACATGACAGGAAATTGGCCTCCATGACTGAATCTATGGCATCTCTATTATCATAGTAAGGGAAAAGAAAAGCTCTCCTTAATTGGGTAATATGATTATCTATAAAACAGACTATACTGAAAAAATATTAGAACTAAAAAGACAACTCAGCAAGGCTGCAGGGTATAAGATCAACAAACAAAATTCAATTGCAATCCTGTATCTCAGTATTTATCACATACAATATTTAATAGCAAACAAAAGACACCATTTTTAACAGCAATAAGTGATGAAGTGTCTAGGAATAAATAAACACAAATGTGGACTTTTGTCTCTAAATAAAATGTTGATTTTATGTATAAAATATTTTTAAGGAACAAATTAAGATTGAATAAGTGGAGACCTATACCATATTCATGAATTGGAATATTCATTAAAATGAATTCATTAAAATGAATGAAGATGTCATTTCTTCTAAAGTTAATATTTAATTTCAATGCCAACCCAGTTTTTAAAATTCTGATTATGTAACATGGAACAATGATCACTTAATTCATGTAGAAAGGTAAAGGGTCAAAACTAATTATAGTAGGTGGGAATGTCTTTGGCAGCAAGTGAAAGAATATACAACTTAAAGTGGCTTAAACAATAACAGGTTTATTATTTCACATCAAAGGATGTCCAGTGGTAGGTGGCTTCAGGATCAGTTAATTCAGCAGCACAATGACATCACTGAGACCTGGGACCTTTTCATCTCTCTGCCTCGCCATTCTCAGTGTGCTAGGCTCCAGCTTGTCCTCTCAAGGTGGCAAGATGGTTGCCACTGTCCCGGTCATCATGTTTTCCTCCAACTCTGTCCAAAGATAGGAAGGGCAAGTGTTCTTCTTTTGTACCTTTTTAAATGAGAAAACTTACCTATCCTATCCCATCTCCACCCTAACACAATTCCACATAGGTTTCATTGGCAAGAGATGCAACACACATGCCTATGGTCAAACCAATCCCAATGGAATGTTAATTACTATAATGGGCTTAAACTAAGCACCTTGGGGGGGGGGGGGGTTCATGGACACCTGAAAACAATTTAGGTTCAGTTAGAAAGGAGAAAGAGACAATATACTTTGGACAGATAATCAACCACAATACCCAAGGCAATTTTAAAAAGAATAAGTCAGGGGGGTTGCCTTACCAAAAAAAAAAAAAAAAAAATCAAAATTTAAAACCAGAGATAGCATAACAAACCTGGAGAGAAAAGATGAGTGTTAATAAATGTGTGTTGGAATACTTATATATGTATTTCCTATTTCACATCACAAGATTTTAAGTTGATTTAAAGACATAAATGTGAATAGTCAAATTTTATACCTGTAGGAAACATATAAGAAATTGTCTTTACACCCTTGGGATAGGAAGAATTTATTAAATACAGCACAAAAGAATAAAATATCAAGGAAAAGATGAATAATTTTACTAGTTTAAAATAAAAGTATATCATCAACAAAGTGAAAAGACAAGCTTAGACTGAGAAAAGATATTTTTCCAGACATACAACAACCAAGGTATTTGTATTAAAAAGTTATGAAGAACTCCTGCAAAGCGATAAGAAAAAGAAACAACTAGAAGGCAAATTTGACAAAGGATATGTACAGGCAATTCTCAGAATAGAAACCCTAACGGCTAAAACACATACAAGAAGATGTTCAATCTCACTAGAAATGAAGGGAAAACAAAATAAAATAATAAAAAGTTACCATTTCATAACTATAATTATGCAAACATTTTAAAATTTGAAAATACCAAAAATTAGCAAGATGTGGAGAAATAGGACTCTTAGAAAGCAAAATGGTGATATATACTTATATAAATCCTAAGACCCAGCAGTTGCTCTCTTGCTTAGATTAGTGGTTTTCAACCAGAGGTGATTTTGCCCCCCAGAAAACATTTGGCAATGTTTGAAGACATTTCTGGTCGTAACTCTGTGTATTGGTGCTGCTACTGATACCTTCCGGGTAGAGGTGAGGGGTGCTGCTAAATATCTTACCCGCAACAAAGAGTTATGTAGTCCAAAATGTCAACAAGACCAAGGTTGAGAACTTCTGGCCTAGAAAAACTCTCACATGGTGTGCACCAGGACACAGGTATTTAAATGTTAATTGCAGTATTGTTTAAATAGCAAACAATCACAAACTCAAAGCAACCCATACATCCATAATGCAGGAAAATAGATAAGAAACTTGGGTATTTCAAACAAGGGAATAATATATAACAGGTGTAATTAATGAATTAGTTCTTCAGGTTGCAACATGAATAAACCTAAACAATAATGATGACTAAAAAAGTATTGCAGACTGTTACGTACAGTGTGATATAGTATTCCTTTACAGTTTACAAACACAAAGCAATACTATATATTGTTTATGAATATGTACATATAAAAGTATAAAAACATGCATTGTTAATGATTTATGGGAACTTCAAGATAGTGATTACTTTTGGGAAAAGAGGAAAGGAGGAAAAATAGAGAAATGAATGAGATCGGGAGTAGACAATGGTTTCAATTCTGCTTGTAAGAATTTTTACGACAAACAAACAAAAAACCCAAAAGCAAATAGATCAGACATTAGGATTTGTTGAGTATTTTATACATAGATGTTTGTTAAACTATCTTCTATATTTTTCTGTCTATTTGAAATATTTATGATGAAAATATTTTAAAATATTTTAAGAACTGCATCTGCTAGAATGAGTATTCTGTTTGTGTTTCAGGAGCATGGAGTTGGTGGAGAAAGTCAGTGTTTCCAGAAGAAACCGTGCCACTCCACAGGGAAATTAGAAAAGGAGAAAGTGACTCCTGAATAAAGGAGAGTTTATTCATTTAAAGACCCCTCTCCCAGGGATTCTTGGCAGGAAGAGTTCGCTTTCCTGCTGCGCCAGTGATTGGTAGGCTATACCTCTGTCCATGGTCCTATTCCTCTGCTTCAAACAACCTTAGAAGAATTCAGAGGGAGGTTCAAATTTGCAATGTAGAAAGACATTGAAGTGTTCTAGATAGAGCTGAGAAGCTGAGAGAAGAGGAAATATTGTGGGTATAGCAGATCTTTTGAATATTTGAAAAGAAGTTCCGACTGTCTGCAGCAGATCCCACCAGCAGAAGGGGATCCTTTGGGACAGCCATTCTTTGTGATATTGATGAATAGCGTCTATCAGTGGAGTGAGCGCCACTTGAGCTGAAGCCTGCTTGGTAGGAATGACACTATCATCTCCCTAACATTTCATATTTTTAATGAAAAGCTTTCTCATTCCTAACGCTTTTCATCATTTTTTCCCCAACGCTTCTGTAAGACCATTCGATATTCATCTCTGCTTTTACAGTGATGAAGAGAGACTAACAAAGCTTTCCAAAGGACTTAGGTTCTTTCTATTAACCAATATTTTTTACCTAAGCCACTGGGGATATATAAACAGTGAGAGTAACTCAACTGAGAAAGATATTTTATGGGCATCCCATAGTAATCGCCTATCTTTTAAAAAGAAACAACAGTTTTTTTGTTTTTTTTTTTTTGAGATCCCAGGAGGTGTCTGGCACTGCACGACGTGGTATGAGCATGAGAGTGCAGAACATAATGTTTGGGAACGTAATGTTCCTCCAGGGACTTAAAAATTAATGCAGATCCAAAACTGTTAGAAAAATGTTGGTTGTAATAAATTATGGAAAAACAAAGTGCAAGGTGTAGAGACAAAAATCCCGAGCAGAGTGACAAACCAGGGAACATGAATACAGAATATGATGAGCCAATTAACCTCAGGAGAACATGGGCTTCACAGTATGGGCAGAATACAAGATTTTTACCCCGAGAAGTCAATTTTGCAGACTCAGTTACTTGTCCACACACACAAAATCAATAGCTGTTTCTGATGGGCCACTGGCAAAAGAAATTCACTGTTCTTTCTATAGATGGAGTCTAAACCATCCAGCACATGATGAAGTGTTTAAGGAAAAAATATGTGGGTTGGCAAACTTTTAATCTACAAAAGTGGTGATCTAGTTTTGGGTGATAGCTCTAATGGAAATAGGTGCAATTGCGTTTGTAGATGCTGATTTTTATCAGCAACCAGAAACTGTGCTAAGAGCTCAATTTGGCCTACTTTAGGTTCCCTGGGTAAGTTAGTGGGGGGATTTTCATTAGGTTATTTGTTATATGTCAGAAGAGGAAATAAAGCAATACACAAACACTGTGATATATAGGTAAGAAGCTATCTTAATAGAAATAGTTCTCTAGTCTAGGATGTTTCCCTCCCAAGGTGATAGAAAGTACTTGGAAATGCAGGGACCTAACTGGACTTCAGACTAAGCTTCCTTCATTGCCCCAGCCTTCCTGTTTTAACAACTTCAACCTTGCTAACCTACCAATACTAGGGGAGTTGGTTTTATTTATATACTGATAGCTTCTGATTTGGGCCATTGCACCTTCATTCACTTGTCGTCATTGCACCTTCATTCACTTTTATACTTTTTTTCACATTTTCTTGTATCATAGTAATATGAAAAGATAAAAAAAAATGTCTAGAAGTGTTTTTTCCATTGTGGAAGTGAAGAATTTAGATTTTCACTTCCACATGGATATCTAATAGTCATCTCAAACTGAACATGACCAAAAGAGAACTCTTGATTCATTCCCTTAACCTTCTTGTATTAAACAACACCAAGAGGCTTAAATAGAGTTTTCCTCTTCTCATAAACAAGATGTCTGGCAGTAGATTATTTCTGGTGTTGGTTCAGCTGCTCAACTATACCATCAAGGACCCATTGATAGTATTCCTCTTTTTTTCTATGTCCCATCCTTAACATGTTGGCTTTTAATCATCATGACTTTTGTTTTGTAGTCACAAGATGGCTGCTGTGACTCCAGGCATTGTGATAGTGCTCAAGATAGCCATATCTATCCCCAGAAGGCTTTCACTTAGGTCTCATTAGCCAGAAATGAGTCACTCCTGGCTGCAAAGGAGCAAAAGAGAATGGGATGATTATGATTGAATTATACCAGTCATGATTCGTCACTTGGAGCTGGATATACTGTCGCCCTCAACCAAGTCAGGCCTCTGTTAGCAAGGAGGAAGAGAACAGCTGTTGGAAAGGGAATTGACACAGTCTGCCATATTTCTTATTCCCAGCCTACCTGTTTCACTAAAGAGCATCACCATCTGCCCAGTGCCCAGTAGAGGAGAGAACTTTAGTCTCTTTCTTTCTCTTATGTCTGCTATAATCAACCACCAGAAAGTTCTGTTGACTCTACTTCCCATGTATACCCCTAATCCACTCTATTCTCCCTGTCTTTGCTATTGCTATCCTCATTCAAGTCACCATTGTTTACCTGAATTACTGCAATTGCCTCTTAAAGAAACAGAAAAAAATCACTTTCTTGCTTAAAACCTCTCATTGGCTTCCCATCTCACCTAAAATCCAAATTCCTTACTATGACCTTCCATGCCTAAAAGATCTAGGTTCTGTCCACCTGTCCAACTTTATCCTGTTCCACTTTTCTGTTTGCCCCAGACTTCCAGTCATGCAGGCTTCTTTCTCTTCCTCAGACTCTACCTTGTTACCATCTTGGGGACCTTCAAACCGCCTCTTTTCTCCACCTAAAGTGCCGTGCATTCTGATCTTTTCATGACCAGCTCCTCTTTGTCATTTAGATCACTGTTCAGATGTCCTCTCTTCAGAGAGCTCCTCGCTGGCCACCCAATCTAAAATGGCAACCTGGTTGGTCATTCAACACTTCATTTTATTTCTCTGTGTTGCATCTATCACTGTGTAACATTATCGTGTTTACCTCTTTAGGTATCATGTTATGAAATGTAACTATTTATTTTCCAACTCCTCCACACTAGAATAGAAGCTCCTTGACAACAGAGACCTCGTGCCTTGTGTTCACTGCTGTATTCCTAGCACCTAGATCAAGGCACGTGGCAGGTTCTCCTCAAAGATTTCTGAGGGAATGAGTACATGAGAGGAAAGATTTTTCTTAAGCAGAAACTTTAGCAATAAAAGAACATCTGTAACCTATTATCAGCATCCTTAGAGTTGTCCTTCATAGAACAAAATAACTTTGTTAAAGGATATAAAATGTGTTATGTTTTAAAGACATCACAATTAATAAGCAATACTAATTTCTTCCACACAGCCTCTTTCCTCCTGTGTCCTACTTTCCAAATCTAAACACGCCACACACACACTTAGTCTTCGTGCTCTATCAGTGCAATTATTGACTGTCTTCTCTACTGACTTCTCTCCTTTGGCCCTCATGATATGACTACATTTTCTCACCATTTTCTGAAGTTCTGGGACAATTTAAAAGAAACTTTTGGGCAATGTCCTCCTTTCCTCCATTTTTTTTTTTTTTTTTTTGGCCAGGATTTCAAGAAGGGGAAAACCAATGTCCTTGGAAGAAGAGAGAAATACTTAGCATCTGAAATTTTCTGCCTTTTTGTGAGGTTTTCACATTTCTGTGTGTGTTCTTCCTAAAGGCTAAAACCATTTGCACTCCCTTCACCAGAAAACCAGACTTTTTCATCAGGTTGTCCTTCAGGTAAAATGTTAAAATTGGAGAATATGCAGCCTTCATTCATCTGTCTCCATGAGCCTTTAAGTCCTTCCCACACCTTCTTAATCCTGAGGTGACCCTCTGAAGGCCCAGGCTTCTGGATCAGCAGCTCGCTGGGCCCACGGGCTAGCCTGCATCCCAGACATCCTGTGCATCTGGCAGGCATTGGCACATTGAAATTGTGCAACAGAAGCTTTGAGAAGTTCATTTCCACACTGGAGACACAGCATTCTGGTGATGGTGACCCAGCATACTCCAAAAATGCCCTTATGTTTAGAAACATCCCCAAATACTGCTCGTAAATTACATGCAGAGAATCCCTGGACTTACCAATAGAAAATAGCAAAAGGATTCCTACCCTCAAAGGTCTTCCGTGAATATATTATAAACAAGAATAAACTGTTCCTCCGACTTAACACAATCTCAGCCTCTCGCCTGTCTTCACCTGCCATCGCCCCCACCCCCTCGCACCCATGTCTAGCTTCCCACCTACACCTTATCTCTTGAACATTCACAGGCCCCTGAAACATAACAGGTCCCAAAATAGCCTTGGCAACATTACTGATCACGCTTCCGTAAAAAAATGTGCGGATGGGCACCCCCAAAATACATATATTAAAAAATAAACCATACACAAATATTTCTTTAAAAACAACAACAACAACAACAAAACCAAGAATAAAATAAATAATTAAATTATTTGATTCAATACTGTTGGGAGTCTATTTCCGGATCATAGCTCAGGTTAACTGGGTAGTTCTATTTCCTTACGGTTATCAGGATTCTAAAGATAGCTCCCCAAGAAGCCTATCTCCTGAACTTCAGTCAAATACTAATCTGGGTACTGCTTCAGTCACTAATCTAGATACTGTGGTGAAGGGATTTTGCAGATGCAATTAAATCAGTTTACTTTAAGATACAGGGATTATCCAGATGGGCCTGGGTCAATCAGGTGAGCCCTTTAAAAGAATAGATTCCTCAGTTGGTAGCAGAAGAGGAAGTCAAAGAGATTCTGAATGTGAGACAGGTTTGAGGGTGATTGCTGGCTTTGAAGATAGAGAAGACCACGTGAGAAGGAATGTGTGTGGCCTCTAGGAACAGAGAATGGTTCCTGGCTGACAGCCAGAAAGAGAAGAGGCACTTCGGAGCTCTAGTCACAAGGAACTGGGTTCTGCCAGCAGTCTGAATGAGCTTGGAAGCAGATTCTTCCCCAGAGCCTCCAGATAAGAGTCTAGCCTGACTAATACCTTGATTTCTGCCTTGTGGCATCCTACGCAGAGAACCCAGCCAAACCTACCCAGACCTCTGAACTACAGAAGTGTGAGCTAATAAATGAGA